CAACTCTACACCGTTACACCGCTACACCGTTACACCGTAAACGGCAACGGTGTAGCGTTACACCGTTACACCGTTGCAGCGTCAGCCGCAACGGTGTAACGTTACACCTTTACATCGTTGCACCGTTACCCGCAACGAGCCACGTTACGCTTCACAGCTGTCCAGCCCAAGGTCCGTTCAGCCGCCAACCGAAGGGACCTCCAGAGCAAGTTTTCCAAACAAATGATTTGTAGGTCCCTTCGGTCGCTGGCTGTGCCACGCGATGAGCCAAACTATTGACACCTGGGGGTCTGGACGTCTTCGGGGGCTGATCTGCTCCGTTGCGGCCCACTGTCATTGTGCAGCGGTGTAATGGTGTAGCGGTGTAGAGGCTAGGCGTAGCGGCGTGGACGCCCCACGGCTGTCCAGCCCCCCCCCCAAAGGGCCAAGGTCCGTCCAGCCGCCGACTGAAGGGGCCCACAAGGCGTGGTCGACCCCAAAAACGTGTTGTCGGTCCCTTCGGTCGTTGGCTTGACCGTGCGACGCTGTTCCTACACGGCCTCGGGAGCAAACCAAGATGATACCAGAGAGCTCCAGGATGGCGTCCGCGAGTGATTGCGGGAGTTGCAAGAGGAGCATGAGTAATGGGATAAGGAAGAGAAGAAGGGGGAAGTCATGTACATTACCTCGTCATCGCCAGCATCAGAAGCATCCGTAGCCATGCGCCCGCACTTGGCTGTAACCGATCCCTGCCTCCACCCGGAGGTGGGCGACGTGGAACAGGATGCCGCGTGGGATCCATACCTCTCTGGAGGACCAGCTGCTGAGCCTGCCCCTTCGCCAAGCCTGCAGCGGTGTCGCCGCGTGCCTGTCCACGCGCCGTGCGCAATCAGGTCGCCGCGAAAGAGTCGATCAGATGACGGCGCGCGGTGGGCCACGGTCACCCAGCCGCAACCGCAGGCGCCCCGCGCGGTTGCCGTTCGGGCTTCGGTGGGCCGAGGTTTCACCGCTGAGCGTTCGGGCGCGCCGCAGACTAGCGGCCCGTTGCGCGATCCTCGGCAGACCGCGGCGCGCCTGTGGGACGCCGCCGCGCGGGTGGCTGCAGGAAAGACCGCTGCAACCCTGCAGGAGCTCATGGAGTGCTCGCTGTTTTGCCCTAGGGCGGCCAGCGTGAAGGCGCCGCCGTCTCCGAAGCTGACCGCTGGCGTTTCTGCGTGGCTGTGCGGCGCGGATGTTTTCGTGCTCTCAGCGTGCACCAGGTGGCGCGTCCCGCGCGCAGATGTCGTGCCCCTGCACAGGGACGGAGATGGTTTGCTTGCGCGTCTGCGGGACGCACGGACTGTGGAAGCAAGGTCGTTGACGGAGGTGCATACGTGCTTCGCACCCAAACCAAACAAGACGGGCAGAGACGCAATCGTTGATCTCCAGCGGCGCACCCCCTCGGGCGCCCCGGGTGCGATTCCGAGCTCGGACTTTGCCCCCGCGCGTGGTCTGGCCAACCAGTGGGCCGCGCGAGTTGCGGTGCCGCGGGGCCCCGCAGAGACGACGCACTGTTGCGGCCGCGTGACCGAAATCCAGCTGCAGGCTTCGCGGGATCATGCGGTTGCCAGCGCGGCCCACGGCAGGCCGCATGGTGCCCAACCCAGAACCGATCGAGCAGTGCAGGTCCGATATGTCCTCGACGCCATCCTCCCGCTGCTGTTCGACGCGCGCCCGCGGCGCTGTTCGCCGAGGGGGCGCGGGCGAGCGTTCCCCGTGGAATGCGCGGGTGCTCGCCTCGCTTCCCCCGGCATCCTCATCCGCCATCTGCCGAGGAGTGCGCCGATCTACATGACTGCGGCCTTCCTGACTTTCGTCGCCCAGAACGTCTACGAGGAGCTGAACGCGCGCGCCGTCCGTCGCGGGATCTTCAGTCTGTACGCTGCGAAAGCCTTATCATTTATCACTGCAGCTCGGTTCTGGTGCGGTTCCCGCTGTGACGGCGGCGCCGCCAGCTGGTGCTTTGCGTGCGATGCTCAACGTGGCGTTCGGCAATTTCTTGGACGAGGCGGTGTCCCGTGTACAACGCCTTCAGTGCTTGTACAATGGTCCGCCGATCTTCAGACTCCATCCGTCGCCAGATCCCAGGGGGGCGGGGGGTTGGGGGGGCAGTGCTGGCCTCACAAACGGGTCGGAAGATCAGGCGGGCCCCTCAGGCCGGGTGATCCGAGGCGACGGGAACTTCAAGCTCGCCAAGCGAGTGTGCCATCGTGCGTGGGGCTCGCGCTGTCACTTGCGGCCGTTCACCGTCGTCCTGGCGTGGACTGGGACGGACGGCAGTCTGCTGACGCCCGTCGCCCTGAAACGCGGCGAGACGGTCTCCGCCATCGTCGAAGAATTGTCGCCGCTGCTGGACAGCAGCAAAGCCGCCCGCTTCGCCGCGGACCTGCCGCCCGAGGCGTGCGCCCCCGTCTTCCACGCCACGGACAGCTTCCGGAACCACCGCGTGCGGCTCCGGGCCCTGCGCAGTCAGAAGTGGCCAGAGCGGAACCTCGGCTTCCGAAGCCCGAGCGGCAACCGCGCGGGACGCCCGCGGTTTCGGCTGGGTGGTTGTGGCTTTCCGCGCGCCGTCGTCTGATCGACTCTTTCGCGGCGACCTTACTGCGCACGGCGCATGGACAGGCATGCGGCGAAACCGCAGCAGGTTCGGCGGAGGGGCGGGCACAGCTGCTTGTGGGAGGTATGGATCCCACGCGGCATCCTGCTCCATGTCGCCCATCTTCGGGTGGAGGTAGAGATCGGTTCCAGCCAAGTGCGGGCGCATGGCTACGGATGCTTCTGATGCTGGCGATGACGAGGTAATGTGCATGACTTCCTCCTCCTTCTCCCCCTTCTCCCACTACTCATGCTCCTCTTGCAACTCCCGCAATCACTCGCGGACGCCACGCTGGAGCTCTCCGGTATCATCTCGGTTTGCTTCCGAGGTCGCGTAGGAACAGCGTCGCGCGGTCAAGCCAATGAGCGAAGGGACCGACAACACGTTTTTTGGGTCGACCATGCCTTGTGAGCCCCCTCAGTCGGCGGCTGGACGGACCTTGGCCGCTTTGCGGGGGGAGGCTGGATAGCCGTGGGGCGTCCACGCCGCTACGCCTCTACACCGCTACACCATTACACCGCTGCACAATGACAATGGGCCGCGACGGAGCAGATCAGCCCCCTATAGACGTCTAGACCCCCCGGTATCAATAGTATGGCTCATCGCGTGGCCCAGCCAGCGACCTACAAATCATTTGTTTGGAAAACTTGCTTTGTGGGTCCCTTCGGTTGGCGGTTGAACGGACCTTGCGCTGGACAGTTGTGAAGCGTAACGTGGTTCGCTGCGGGTAACGGTGTAGCGGTGTAGAGGTGTAGCGTTACACCGTTGCGGCTAACGCTGCAACGGTGTAGCGGTGTAGCGCTACACCGCTGCCGCTAACGGTGTAACCGTGTAGCGGTGTAGCGGTGCACCGTTGCGGCTAATGGTGCACATGGGTAGCGCTACACCATTACACATTACACCGTTAGCGTATCGGTGAAGCGGCGTAGCGTTGCACAACGGTGTGACGGTGTAGCGGTGCAGCGATACACCGTTAGCGTAACGGTGTAGCGGTGTAGCCCTACACCGTTGCCAGCTGACGGTGTAACGGTGTAGTGGCGTGAGCAAACATCAGCGCCATGGATCCCCCCCGCGCTGAATTGTAAACAGATCCAGCCGAGACCTCGCGTTCCCTGGCGGCCTGCGAAGTGCGCAGTTGTCGCCATTGTCGGTGGCTCCTGGGAGGTCCAGCGGAGTGAAGTTGTGAACAGATCCAGCCGAGACCTCGCGGCTCCTCGGCGGGTTGCGCAGTGCGCAATTGTCGCTACTTTCGTGGGCTCCTGGGAGGTCCAGAAGAGCGAAGTTGTGAACAGATCCAGCCGAGACCTCGCGTTCCTGGGTGGGTTGCGAAGTGCGCAATTGTCGCCTTTGCTGTGGGTTCCTGGGAGGCCCAGCGGAGTGATGTTGTAAGCAGATCCAGCCGAGACCTCGCGGCTCCTTGGTGGTTTGCGCAGTGTGCAATTGTCGCCACTTTTGTCGGCTTTTGGGAGGTCCAGAAGAGCGAAGTTGTGAACAGATCCAGCCGAAACCTCGCTGCTCCCCTGTGGTTTGCGAAGTGTGCAAGTGTAGCCGTCGCCATTTTCGTGGGCTCCTTGGAGGTCCAGCGGAGAGAAGTTGTAAACAGATCCAGCCGAGACCTCGCGTTCCCTGGTTGGTTGCGCAGTGCGCAATTGTCGTCACTTTCGGTGGTTCCTGGGAGGTCCAGCGGAATGAAGTTTTTACGCAGATCCAGCCGAGACCTCGCGGCTTTTCGGCGGCGTGCGAAGTGTGCCATCGTCGTCATTTTCGTGGGCGCCTGCCACCCGAACTTCGCCTTGTGGGTTGCGAAGTGCGCACTCGTCGCCACTTTCTTGGGCTCCTGGGGTCCATCGGGGCGGACTTTCCAACTGATGCGGCCGATACCTCGCGGCTTGCTGGCGGGGCTGCGACGCGCGCAACCGGCTCCTCTTGCCTGCCGCCTCGTCCCCGCCTCCTATCAAGGGGGGATAAGCCACCTGGATCGGACAACTGGCGTTTACTAAACGGCCCTGGGGGTTTACTAGACAGCCCTCTGCCCTGTTAGATTCCTTTCCTTCCCTGGGTGCGCCTGCTACACGGCTTCGCGCGTCGGGTTGCTTATTCTCGGGGTGGATTTTCTGCCCTCGATCCTCTCCTTTTGCCCCGCCTCCTCCCCGCCTCCCCCTCCTCCTTCTCCTCTTGCCCCGCCTCCTCCCCGCCTCCTCCTCCTCCTCCTCTTCCTCTTGCCCGCCTCCTCCCCGCCGCCGCCGCCTCTTCCTCCTCCTCCTCCGCCTCCTCCTCCTCCTCCTCCTCCTCCTCCTCCTCCTCCTCCTCCTCCTCCTCCTCCTCCTCCTCCTCCTCCCCCTCCTCTTGCCCGCCGCCTCCTCCCCGCCTCCCTCGCGCAGCGCTTCTCGGGGAAGTCAGGCCCCGCGGATCTCGACGCGGCGGCGCCGCGCGCGGCGGCCGCGCCCCCCCCTGGGCAAAGGGGGCCGCGGGCATGGCGCCGCCCTGAGCGCGCTGCGCTGCGCCGCCCGGTGCCCGGCCAGGGCGCCCCGGCCTTCGGCGGAGGAGGGCGAGCCTGGTCCGCAGACATGACGTCGCGTCGTTTATATTTACAAAAATAAACAGGGCGGGAGGTTTTGGGCCATGTTCTGCCCCGGCGGGGCCTCGCCGGGCCTCGGGGCCGTCAAAAGGCGGCTCGGGACGAAGAGGCGGTCCCGGGGAAAGGGTCGGGACTTCCAGGGACGCCGTTGTGAAAAAGTCAGGACGTCGCATGTTTGGGTCGATGACTGGGGGGGGGGGGGTAGATATCATGGCGTGGGCCATGATATCTCCCCAGATGTCGTGGCCCCTCTTCTTGTTTCACTACGTCCCTGGCCCCCCCCCCCCTGGGCCGCGCACGTGCCGCCGGCCAAGCTGTGTGCCCCCCCTTTCGGACGCCCCCCTCTTGGCCGCTCCCGAGAGGAGGGCCAGTATGGTCTAGGCCTTCACGAGTGGGATCCGAGTGGATGGGGTCGGAGGATCGCCCACATCGCCAATGCATCGCCGATGCGGCTCGATGTGGATCCCTTTTTTCTCCACGCCAATGGCGCCGGTGCATCGCCGATGTCAGCGATGCGGCGCGAGCCTCCGACCCCGTCGACTCGGACCCCATGTAGGAGGCCTCTAGAGTCAGAGGGGGCCAGTTGAGATACCGGTCTTTGGACTTTTGCTGGCCCCTTCGTCGCCATGGCTGGTCGCAGCTTGGAGAACTGGTGCACTTGGGCCCCGGGACGGGTCCAGGGAGTCGATTTCGAGTCGTCGGTGTCTCAGCTCGCCCTGTTTCGAGAGGGGGGTGATGACACTAGGTGGATGTGATGGCCGTGGCCAGGATACCTTCCCGTGTTTCATGGCTCCACCCCTCGATTCATGATGTTCCAACCTACTTTAGCATTGATCGCCAGAAAGAATCTCGAGCACCAGAAACAACAGTACCGAAACTCGAGGGCTTCCACGTGTCGGGCCCTGTGAGACACTCGTCCGACACTGCTTCGACATTCTCTCGACACTCTTCCGGGTGCTCGAAGCTACTTCTGGGATGTGGCTTTTTGGCACGATGGGAGCAACATAACCCTCCACTTCAGTACACGCTGGTCGTTGAAAGTAGGATTTTTTGCATTCCCAGATCCCAATCTACTTCAAGCGCCTTCCTGCTTCAAGAACCGACATGCTTATGCTGTGTTTTGTTGTTCTCTGGGAGGACCTGGACCCCATCCACAATACCCGCCTTCCTACTGCATGTTTCCGCCTACCTCTTCCGACCGACGTGTACGTCCCTCCCCCCCGTGGGCCGCGCACGTGCCTCGGGGCACGATTTGCGAGACCCCCCCCCTCCTGTCAAGCAGTGGCGACGCGTCCTGGCTCGCCTATAGCCCCACCAAACAATGTTCTAAGAACTATTTGTGGTCTGCACGAAATGTGCTTAGAACATTTCTGGCCGGGACTGTCTTGGTTTAACACATCGGGTGAATGTTCTAAGCACATGGTTTTTGTTATTGGAGCATGTGTGGGTTCTGAGAACATTTCGTGGTAGGACTATAGAAGTGCCGGGACGGTTGGTCCCTGCTCAGTCCTGGGCGCCCCCCTCGGACGCCGCCGGCCGTCGAGGCGGCGGCGGCCCTCCCGGGCGCTGCCCGTATTCTCTTTCGTGGGACCTCCCGGGGGCTGCTCGCAACTGGCTTTCAGTCGGGCCTGTCCCTCTACAGGGGGGATGCTCAAAAATAGTCAAAAAATAGTCTGGGGGCTATTTTTTGAGTATCTTTGGGCATCCTTTGAATGTGTTTTGGGGTACCTTTTATTTTTTCGTCCAAAATCACCTTGTAGGGGACAGGCCCGACCTAAGACTGGCTGCCCGCGGCTGGGCTCGCCTCGAGAAACTGTTGGGCAACGTTCTAGGCTTGCGGCAGGCGATCAGTGGAGAGGAAGCATGCTACCAAATAATGTCCAGATGCCCAAAACATGTTTCAGACATGTGTTGAATATGTAAAGACATGCTTGAGCCATGTTTCACATATTTTACAGACATGTTTAATTCAGTGACAGGATTGTTAGAGAGTGTCCATTGCCATGGCATCCACAATTCTAGACTCAGGGGGGGACGCATCTGCCCCCAATCGCCCATTCGTCGCCGATCGGGGGCCCAGCCGTCCACCCCGCCCAGGACCGTGCGGACGGAGCATCGGGGGCTTCTCGTCGAGCTATCGGCAGTGTATCGCCGGCTCTCTGTGTTCTCCCCCTGAGCTGGTCCCCCCCCTCCCCTCCTCCTCCTCCTCCTCCTCCTCCTCCTCCTCCTCCTCCTCGACCTCCTCCTCCTCCTCCTCCTCCTCCTCCTCCTCCTCCTCCTCCTCCTCCTCCTCCTCCTCCTCCTCCTCCCCCCCCGTAACGTTACCCCTCGGGGCCTCCCGGGGGCTCGTCGTCGGTCGTCGCCGCCCGTGGCCAGACCCGCTGCGAGAAACGGGCCATGGGTGCACCTGGGCAGAGGTCTGGGGACCAGTCTTGAGCGGACCTGGCCTCGGCGGGACAGCCCCAGACCCCCTCGCGCCGTGAACAAAGCACGACGAAGGTTCTTCGCTTTGTGCAACCTCCGGGGGCCCTTCCCGGGCCTCGGGACCGTCGATTCCGGATGAAAGCCTGGTCCCGGAGAAGGGGCCCGGACCTCTGGGGGTCGACGTCGGGACAGCCGCCGCCGTCTCCGCTGGCGCTCCCCCGGCCAATTCTCGAAGTCTCCAAGCCCAGGTGTTCCCAAGCGCAGCCAGCCTCGCCCGGGCCTGGGCGCCGAGCCCGCGGGGGACATGAAGGTCGTCGACTTTGACGGGCAGGATCTAGTGGACGAAGGGCATCACATGAGCCTTTCCGCCCTCGGGACGCCTGTTCTCCAGAGGTTTTAAACATTGTTTTGTCTCTCTTTCTCTATCTCTCTCTCTCTCTCTCTCTCTCTCTCTCTTTCTCTATATATATATATAGTTATGCTGTTTGTTTTATCTGTGTTTAGACATGTAGATACATCGAAACGTAGCACATACGTAGACATCTAGTATGCGATCTGTGTATAACATGCCAGAGTGAGGGGGCCGAGCGGTCATTCACTGTCCCTGGGAGCGTGGGTGAAGTGGGGTTACGCGATGCGGATTGTTGTTGCCCTGTTGAGTTAGATTCTCATTGTAAATCATCATCGCGGCCCTGCGCTTTTTCGATTTAAGAGCCCATCCCAGAGCTCGCACCTTGTTTTTTGCAAGCGGAAGTCTTGCGTTTCAAACTGCGCTTCTGGCCTTTGAACTACAACAGTAATGAGTCCCTGGTGATATAGTTCTTCATAATGTATGCGTTCAATGTCGTGCACTCGCGCGAGACTTCTTCATAATGTATGCAACACTCGCGCTCTCGCGTGGTAGAGTTCTTCATGCTGTATTCATTCAAGGTCGCGCCCTGGCGCGAGACTTCTTCACAGTGTATGCAAGACCCGCGCTCTCGCCAGGGACTTCCTCGCAACATATTCATACGCCGCGCCCGCGACACGAGAGATCACGCTCTCGCATTGGACTTCCTCACGATTTGCTTGGGAGTCGCGCTATCGCTCGAGACTTCCTTGCGGTTCATGCAGGACTGGTGTTTCAGCTACCCGCCCGCTCGACCTGACAGCCTGGACCCGTCCGCCCGACCCGCCCGTCAGGGTCCGCTCGGCCGACCGAGCCGTTTGGTTCTGACACGGTCATGCAGTTCCAAACCCCATCTCCTCCTAATCTCTCACGTGCTTCATCCTGCTCCCTCCCCCTTGTCCCTTCTTTCCGCCCTCCCTCTCTTCAGTGTGGCAGGTGAGGAGGATAGACCCCCAAGGAGTGCACGACCGAAGACGAAGAGGGTAGGTATCGACTGTTGGGGATGCAGGTGTGGAGCGGCACGCGAGCAGATATGAGCGTAGCGTCTCAAGCTAATCGTTGTTGAGTTTTCACTTCTGCAGAGTGATTATTGTTGATCCCCCCTCCAGTGCACCGTACTTCTTCAATTGAAGTGCCCCTCCCGGGCCTTGCACCTTGGCCTTTACATAGGAAGGGCTTGCCCCTTAGACTAGGTCGCTGGCCTCCAGTTTACCACAACACCGGTTCCCGGCTGATGTACTTGATCAGTTCATTGTATCAGTTCATGTATTCATGTATTCCGCGCTATCGCCTGAGATCCTCACAACTTAATCATGAATCGTTTGCTCGTCGCTCTCGGCGTTTTTTTTCGAGGTTTCCGCATAGCTTACTCAGGAACAGCGCTCTCTCCTGAGGCTTCAGTGACATCCCCTCTTGCCACGCCCTCTTGCTGCTCCCTCTCGTCCTCCATCTGTCCTTTCCTCCTGCCCCCTTTACTCCTCGTTCCCTGCCCCCTCCCCTTCCTCCTCGTTCTTAGCATTGGAGATTTCAAGGCCAATCCAGAGTGGAATAAGGTCACGCCGTAGCGCCAAACAATCGCGGATATCTAGGTGAAATCGAACGGCAAGCTTGTGAACCAGAGAACATTGGCGCAGCAGCTTTACACGTGGTTGGGAGAGAATTGCAAAGGACTTGTTACTGATTTTCCGCAGGCGGAGGGATGCGTATTCAAAATGCGCACAATGATTTGGCAGCTTCGCGAAGTCAAGCGTCTTGGGAAGATTGTGCCCGCGATTTTTGTTTGCAATTATGTCGCTATTTCATTTGATCGACGTGCAAGTGTGCAAGACCACAATGGTGAGTGATGGTTTTGAGGTGCAGGAACCCGAAGACGCTCATGATGATGCACCGTTAGTTTCAATGGCAGGCGGCGAAGACAATGGTGAGCCTTTTTTCATTTGATGATGTTGGCATGCATTACCAGTCGGATGATTTGTTTGATACCGATCTGTTCTACGATCGTTCTCTAGCGAAGCGGCCGAGCGCGTTCGTCCCCGCGTCCTCCACCGAGCAGGCGCCGACGCAACAGAAGACGATGGGGCGCCACCGTTTTACAGTCAACACTCCAGACCCCAAAAAGCACGAGCGTCTTGGAGAAGATGAGCTGGCCCAGCTGGCCTCTGGTCCCCACGAAGCAGCACCGACGCCACAGGCTTGGAAACAAATCTTCCCCAACAAGAAAGTCAAGGGTGATAAGTCCATCGAGGGCTCTAAGTCCCAAGGCTGAGAGGTCACCCCGAAGGGCAAGAAGGGCACGAAGGGGCAATGAAGCCACGCCCAAGCAGGGCAGGACGTGCAAGAAGGGGAAGGAGGTCCCCAAGGAGGGCAACAAGGATGGCAAGCGCACCCTGGACTCCAAGGAGGGGAAAAAGGCAACTGAACCATCCGAACATTACCCTCACATCACGCTTAAATCTAATATTCAATCACCCCCCTCTCCACTGTGCACTCCCATGGTTAACCATGAGAGTCCATTTGTTCGGGAGCGCATGGTAACCATGGTTAACCATGAGCTTCCCAACGAACAAAAGAGTTTCAACACCCACGTGTCGATTACGACATTGCGAATGTTGTTGCGTTTTCGTTTGAGGCCTGCGACGACGGTGTCGGCAAGGCCACCTTGTACAAGCGGGTGCACTCTCGAGCGGGTCATGCTGAGACGGTCGTGTGCAAGCGTTTAGGCTTTATTGGGGGGCAGCTTTACAAGCGTCGTTCGGAGGCGGCCGTTTTGGCACTCAAGGCGGCAGGCCTCTGAACTCAGCTTGACGCGCACGTCGGGGGGTGCCCGATATTTTCTCACGCCGCGCGGTTGGGGTAGACCGTGCCGCAGTACACCAACTAAGGCAACGAACGCTCTCCAGTGTGAAAACATGCTCCCGAAAAGGGGGAAGGGGGTCCCAAGCTCGTCGGCTTGAGGCTTTGAGGTTCGAGGATTGCGAGTTTGGGATACTGAGGTTTGAGGTTTGCGATTTGAGACGTTTCGTTTTTGCCTTCTCTTCCAAGGGCTTGCTTCCTGGAGGCCCCTCGTCACCGCGGCTGGATCTGCTTCGAAATCCTGCCCCAGACTTTGGGGATCCTGGTTTGAAGCGACCTTGGTCGCCCCTCCTGGTGTTCTTCGACACTTGTATATATATATATATATATATACACATATCTATATATACACACTTACACATACATCTATATCATCCTTACGTAATGGTTCAAGGCGAGCCTCTGGCTAAGCCTCCCCTCTCTGGAAAGTGATGGGGGGGGGTAGCTTCCGGAGCGCGAGAGGCCAGGCGGGGGGGAGTTCCCGAGGGGCGGGACAAACAGGATGGATGGGGGGGGGGGGCTTCCGGCAGGGCAGGGCCCCAGGGGAGGGGGGCAGCCGAGGAGGTCCCCCCATCCCCTTCGCTTACAGTCAAGACGCTGAAACGAGGAACTGTTTGGGTTCGGAAGGGGGCTCGATGTTCCCCAGGTTCCGCCACTGCTGTCCCTCTCGCCCTCCTCGGGCACGGCGGCGTCTTTAGTAGCTCACCGTCTTTCAGCGGCCCGACTGTATTCAACCTCGCGCTCTCGTGTGGGACGCGTTTGCAAATTATATTTATTCAGACGCCGCGCCTCGGCACTCGATCATGAGGCCCTTTCTGGACTTCCTCACGATCCAGCTGGAAGCCACGCTGTCGCTCGAGACACCCCCTTCCCGAGTTATGTTGGACTGGCGTTTCAGTGACCCGCCCGCTCAACCCGACCGCTTGGGCCCGCCTGCCCGACCCGCCCTTTGGGGTCCGCCCGCCCGACCCGCCCATCTGGTTCAGCCGTTTTCTTGGTCCTAAACCTCTCTGCTGCTAATCCCTCTCGTGCTCGATGTTTATCCTTCCTCCTCGGCTTCTTCCCAGTTCCCTCCCTTCCCTGTTGTTGGGGCTGCGCCAACGAGGCAGGTCAGGAAGATGTGCACCCAAGGGGTTGTGGTCGAAGACGAAGAGGGCGGGTATCGAGGGTTCGGGATATACATGTTGAAAGACACGCGAGCAGATGAAAGCGACAGAGAGCGAGAGAGAGCGCGCCATGCACGTCAGAGGTGCGCCGGCAGTAGTATACAGACTGAAGGAAAGCACAAGACGTACACTGCAACCCGCGCGCAGAAATTGCGAGCTGCACGTCGCCACGGCGCTGCCTTGCCATAGTTGAAGCACTATGTCACCGTCGCCGGCTGTTTGGCACGCCATGGGAAATACATTCCGCTTCCACGTGTTCTTTGGCCGACCGCGTGTCCAGCGACGTCCCAAGCAGGATAAACAGGATGTCCCTGGGACGAAGACGCAGCCTCGGACAGCGTTGTCGTCCGGCATCCCCGCCACCTTCCCAGAAGCACGAGTTGTTGGTATGCAAATTGGTCGATCAATTTCTCACAGCTCCAATGGGCTAGGACGGTGTCGCTCCAGACACGACTGATGAACGAACGTGCGATGCTGGCCACTTTTCGGAGGCAGCGCGCTCTGCAAGCATCTAACTTGCGGGCTTTTGCCTCATTGAGCCACAAAGTGTGCACTCAGTATATGAGACATGAAACGACGCACGACTTGAAGATCCGTATCTTCTTGATCAGTGTGACGTTCGCATGCTTCTAAATCTTTCACACGGAATGTAATTGCTTGTACGCGATGCCGATTTTTCGGCTCAGTTCAGCGCCACTGCCGCCGTCGGCGTCGGCGTAGACCATGCAATAGTCTTAAAATGATTGTTGTTGTTTTCGTCGTCCTCCCCGCAAGACTCTGCGACCCACCCCGCGACACACCCCGCGACACACCCCGCGACCCACCCGCGACCTATTCGAGACCCACCCGGCGACCCACCCCTCTTTGACGAGAAAATCGGCGCTTGCGGCGGATTCGTTGCGCAACGTGTTCAATAATGTTGGCGCTTGCGGGCATCTTCAGGGCCTCGCATACTGCCGACGACCCTCCGCCCGTTCATTCTTGCTCGCAACTGCGGGGTGCTAGGCGTATCCCGAGGGTGGCGCGTCGGGGCAGAAGTTTTCCAGCTGCCCCAGGTTCATTGGGCAGGGAACAATCCGTATCCACGACTTCGTGGTGCAGACTCCTCTGCCGCGATCCCAATGGATGCAGGGCGGCTGTGCGCGGGCGCCCCGCGCGTTTACGCACCCGTGGGAACGCGCCTCGGTGTGCAGACTGCGATGTCATTGCATGGCCCCGAGATCCGACGTCGCGAAAGACATGCAGCGTCCTGCGAAATCGAGGCCAGGGCCCTGGGCCCAGTCTTTCTGCTGCATTCCTCGACCTGGCTCGATCCGTGAGGGCCCTGGGCCCGAAAATTGGGGGAGAACGCCCCGCGTGAAGAGATTCCCAGCGCCCGGATCTCGAGGCCGTGGCCCGAGGAGCCCGGCAGCCCAGCGGCCCGCTTGCCGGCATCGAGCCCCGAGCCGGCGGCGGCACCGAGGCCCGGCAGCCCCAGCGGCTATGGCAGCCCGGGGCCCAGCAGCCCCAAGAAGGCTTACAGCGTGAAGTTCACCGCGAGCCCCGCGGGATTCGCGAGCGCGGGCGCCGCGGCCTCCCTCGAGCACGCCGGCGCGAGGTCGGAGCTCGGCGAGGAGCTCGCCCGACGCCTGGACAAGATCGACAGCAAGCTCGATTGGCTCCTCTTGGGGAACAGGAAACTCGCAGGCCTAGAGGTTGACACGAACACCAATTTCGGCGGTGTGCCTCCACGAGGGAAGAAGATCCCGATCTCGGTGATGGTTGTAAGATTCTGGCTTCCAAGGTGGCCGAAACATTACCACCAACGCCGAAATCCAGGATCATCTTCCCCCTGTGGAGGCAACCCCCTGTGTTGGTGTTGGTGCCCATTTCGAGGCCTCCAGAAAACGGCATAAGCATAAACGGTCGGAGGTCCGTGTGGATGGATTTCTTGGATTGGCGCCGGCCCCCCCCCCTCCCTGGCGCGCGGAGCGCCCCGGGGGCAGCGCCGAAGGCGCCGCTAGAGGGACCAGAACCGGCCCAAGAAATCCACGCGGACCTCCAAAAGTGCAACTTCATGCTTTGCAGCTGTTTCTGATTTTATCCTTAGGAGGAGGAGGAGGAGGAGGAGGAGGAGGAGGAGAAGGAGGAGGGGGGGGAGGAGGAGGGGGGAAAGATGTCGATGCCGCTGCCCGGCCCTCGTCGCCACGGCTGGACTCGCCTCGAGATGTTGTTCAGAACGCAGCCCGGGAGGGGTCCGAGCAGCGGTGTCGGCTCAGGCCTCCCAAGTGGGGTCCGAGTATAGATGGGGTCGAAGGATCGCGCTGCATCGCCGACGCATCGGCGATGCGGCTCGATGTGCGGCCCGATTTTCTCGACGCCGACGACGCTGATCCGTCGCCGACGTCTCAGAGGCATCGCCAGTGCCTCGCCGATGCATTGGCGGTGCGGCGCGATCCTCCAACCCCTTCTGCTCGGACTCTGTGTGGGAAGCCTCCAGTCGGTGTTTTTCTTCCTTCAGGCTGGTCTCCCGCTCCAGAGCCACGGGCACCGCGGACATCCAGCGCACAAGGAGCACCGGCAGCGCCCATGGCTTCCCCGCGTTCGCGGACGCCGACCGGGCAGCGCCCCCGGCAGCACACGCGGAGACGCCCTACAGCGCCGCGGACAGCGGGCCCCGGACCAGCGTGACGGCGCTCCGCAGCGCCACAGACGGTCCGCCACCGAAAAGTGCGCACGCACGCCCTCCGATGGATTGTTCCTGGGCCTTGGGAGAGTGTGGCGGTGTACAAACCACCAGTGAGAGCCAGCGACTCTCTACGCCGCCGCCCTCCATGAGGGCACGTGCACAGGAGCGTGTTTCTGTACTGCCTGGGGCACAGTGGACATTATAGCCCCGGGGCCCGCCTCCCCCCCCCCTATTACGTAACGCCCCTCCCCCCCCAGTGCGTTCCGGGCACTGCCGCCGTGCGCACGGCGGGGGGGAGGAGTTACATTATACCCCTCCTGGCCTTCCCTCCCCCCTACAATGCCCATTATTGCCGAAAGTGCAGAAACGCGCTCATCAGGGTACATGTACAGTTTGTCGGAGGCTGTCCGTGTGTATCTTTTCGTGGCGTAGGCGGAGGCCCCCTGACCAGCGTGACGGCGCTCCGCGGCGTCGCGGACGTAGGCCCCCTGATCAGCGTCGAGCCGCCCTCGGCAGTAGGCAGCGCGCCGTCGCCCCGCGGGCCCAGGCCCCACCTCATGGTCCAGCGCCGGATGTCGTCCCAGGAGGATCGGGCGACGAGACCTGCATTCGGGGGCGACGATAGGGGCGATTAGCCCAGGGGCGGGCATTACACGCATTCGCCTGGGAGCCTTGTCGAAGACAGAACATCGGCGCACCTGAATACATGTACTGCTCCCCCCTGGCTATTCGCGCCCATCGTTGCCTCCGATGCATCCGAAGAAGAAGAAGAAAAATAAATCACATAAACTTAAACTTTTGGCGCTCCGCGCGGATTTCTTGAATCCGCGCCTTGGCCTCCCCGGCGGCGCCACTGGCGCGCTCCGCGCGCCAGGGAGGTTGGTCCGGCGCGAATCCGTCACCGAGCGCGTTCCACTACTCGCAAAGTGCCTACTCGCAAACGCCCTAAAATTACATGTCTTCTTCGATGCAATGTATCGTAGATCCTCCACGGCGGATCCAGGCCATTTGCGAGTAGCTACTTTGCGAGTAGTGGAACGCGCTCGTCTAGTCCGCGAAGTCCGCGCGGAGCGCCAGAATTTTATGTCTATGTGTTTGTTCCCTTCTCCTGGGCACGTCGCCGCGCCGCTTCTTCCGACGCGCGGCGTTGCGTCTCGGGAGGGGTGCCGCGGGCATCGGGGCAGACGCCGCCTCGGGCGCGGCCGGCCTACCCGGGGGGGGGTCGCCGCGGTGCCAGCTTCGTCTGCTGGGGCGCGGGGCGCAGGGTGGGTCTGGTCGTGGCGTCCTGGCGTGCCTATAGCGTCCTGGCGTGCCTATAGCCCTACCAAACAATGCTCTTAGAACCGCTTGTTGTTCCCACGACATGTTCTTAGAACATTTCTGGCGAGGACTGTCGTGTTTTAACACATCGGGCTTATGTTCTAACACTATTTTTGTTCTTAGAACATTTTTGGGTTCTAAGAACATTTGGTGGTATGACTATAGGAATGCCGGGACGGTCGGTCCCTGCTCAACATGTGGGCGCGTCGAGAACAAGCGGCGCGGCGACACGTGCGCGCGCACCGATCCTGTCCGGGCCCGTCCTGGGCTCGGGAGGGATCAGGGTGGGTGACCCGTGCACAGTTCTCTCCTCCTCCTCCTCCTCCTCCTCCTCCTCCTCCTCCTCCTCCTTGACAGGACAGCGCAGACAGGCCGGCGGGAGAGCAGCGCCGCCCGAGCTGGGGGCTCCAGCCTCGGGTGTCGAGGGCGGGGTCCGAGGGCAGGGAGCCCGGGTCGCCGGGGGCCACGCCCAGGGCCTCGAGGGCCTCGCGCAGGTCGGCGGCGACGAGAAGGGCGAAGAGCCTAGAGGCGGGCATTCCACGCATCCGCCCGGGAGCCTCGCCGAAGACATGGATCGTCGGCGCCCCTGGATGTGTGTATTTGCTCCCCCCTGGGCTGTTCGCCCCGTTTTGCCGCCCCCGAGCAGGGCGTCAGCGCTCATCCCCAACCTGAGCATCTCGAACCGGAGGAGCGCCACCCTCGCGCGGACGGTGACGAGGTCGACGGCGTGGACGGCCTCTGGTCGGTCGGCGTCGGGCCGGTCGTCGAGCGGGAGCGTCCCCGACATGTTCAAGAACCAGTTCGTGGCTCGTCCTCCTCCTCCTCCTTCCTTTCTCCAACTATCTCTCCCTCCATCCTTCCCGCCATCCCTCCCTCCCTTCCTCCTCCTCCTCCTCCTACTCCATTTCTCCTTATGAGTACCTTCTCCTTGTCGCACCCCGAGGCCAGGAGGATGTACGAGAAGTCCGAAAGCAAGGACCTCGACCACATGCAGAAGTAGCTGGGTGCCTGCGGCGATCTCCACACTCAGTGGAGGGCGAGTCGGGGGACAACGGCAGTTGGCTTTTGGAGGGCCACTCGTCGCCACGGCTGCACCTCGAAAACATGCCTGCACTCGTCGGGTTCTGGGAGAAATCCCTGGACCGACTTTGAGCTGCCGTTGTCCCAAGTCGCCCTGCTCCGACACACCCGTGCCAGCGCAGCCTTGCTTGGATGCCCCTCGGGGAACGTCCAGACCAAGAGGGCCGTGGCATGCGACCGTTCTCTCGCCCAGGCTCCAGAGGTGCCGACCCTCCGCAGCCCCCTCTTGTTTCTTCACTTTACGGGGCTGCTGTTGTTGACAGGACCTTTCAGCCTCTCTCCTCTCAACCTTGCACCACGCTCGCTCGGCACTGCCAGCATCTTGCTCCAGCTCTGTCTGGAATACTCGGCGCAACGACGCCACTGCTCCGTTCCAGAGTGACCGCGCCCTGGCGCGTATATGCGCGTCCGTCCGCCCGTCCCTTACATCAGACCCGCTCGTGCTCAGACTCGCTTGCACGCGGGCCCGCTCACGCTCGGGCTCGGCATCCCTCGTCCTCAGGGGGGCCCCAGGGGAGCCTCGGGGCAGGCTGGGGTGGGGTGATCTCGCAGGGGGGGCGCGATCAGGATGGGGGGGGGGATCGTCAAGACGCTGGAGTGTTGATCCCTTCTGGCTCCGAAGGGGCCCTGACCTTCAGCCATGGACCAGACCTGGGCCGGGGAGCCTCTTCGTGGCCCAGAGGCTCGGCGTGGCCAGAAACGCCCCGCCGCCTCCTTTCCGGCGGCCCCCTGCAGCACGATGGCTGTCTTCCCAGGAAGCCACCACTTGCCGCTGGCACAGGCGGCCCGGATTAGTAGGTCGACCTTGCCAGACCAAGGGTACCCTTGTGTCCTGTGTCTCGCGACCCATGCTTCCTACAATCCTGTGGCAATGTGACCCTCGGAAGGGTATTGTGTCCTCTCGCGTGTCCTGTCCAATCGAGTCCGCCTGTAGGAGGATCTCGGGAGCGAGTCCTGGAACTTCACGCGGCTGTGACGGGGCGCCAGTTCGCCCGCGCCGCCCCTGAGGGGGCCTGCCGGCCACCAGCCGCTGCGGGCAGCGCTCCTCGCCTGGGCAATGAGACCCAGCCGGACAGCGCAGGAACACGAGCATGATGCTCAGAGGAGGTAGAAGGTACCCATACCTCCAGCTTTGCCTGGAATTCTCCCTTTCCGGGCTTCCTGGGAGGCTCTCGTCGCCGCCGCTGGATTCGCCTCGGCATCCCAGTCAGAACGCGCCCCGGGAGAGATCTGGGGAGCAGCGGTATCGGCATTTTCTGGCATCCCCAGTGCCACTCCACTGCTGTGCCATAGGGCACGATGGCGGATATTCAGACGCTTCCGACGGCGATGACGAAGAGGCGGAGCAAGGCCGTCGACTACGTCTGGACGGTCTTGGACGACCCGGGGTCGAGCAGTGTCGCTTGGTGGACCGCAATGCTCCTGCAGATTCTCGTGCTTCTGAGCGTGCTGGGTACCTTCCTGCAGACGGTGGAAGAGCCGCCCCTGCGTGGATGGTCGGCTGCTATCGTCGAGCTGGTCTTCGATGCCGTGTTCTTGTTGGAGATCTGCATTCGTTGGTGCTCTGCGCCGAGCAAGGTAAACTTTGCGTTCGCCACGCACACGTGGATCGATATCGCAGCGGCGAGTGCAATCGCTGTGCGGGCAGCCGTTGGCTTCGTGCTCCCTGAAAGCCAGGACGATGCAGTTTCGATCCAAGAGGCTTACGCCGTCCTGCCGACCCCCATACCAACTACAGTGAATTCGTCAATCGTCGTGCCACCGCGCCTGGCCTGTGGGTCAGGAGCCTCGGGATGCATACGAGGGTCTCCTGGAATGCCTCTCCGGGGCATCTTGGAGGGCTCTTCGGGGCATCTGATCGGCTTTGGGGGGCCTATTTGGAGCCGCTTGGGTGCCTCTTGGAAGCCTCTTGTGGGCCTCACTGAGGGGCTCTTGAGGTCATCATGGCGGGATAGACTGAGGACGTGAATTCGTATTGCCCCTCTTGGGCGCCTCTCGGGGGGCTCTCTTGGGGCTTTGTTGGGCTGTCTTGGGGCCCCCTTGGGGCTTCATGGACCGTCTTGGGGCGATCCTGGAGGACCTTTGGGCCATATGAGACGCTGCCAAGACGAAACAAGCGAGCATGTCGTCGAGCATGCACGTTTCCCAAAGGGACTGGGACGATGTTTGCGTCTTGGAGCTTGCTCGACGGTCCTCTGGAGCACTCTTTGGCCGTCTTGGGGGACTTGTGGGCCGTCTTGAAGCCATCTTGGACCGTCGCTGGCTTACCCTGGGGTGTCTCATCACTCTCTTGGACTGTCTCGGCGCACAGATTGGGCCCTCTCGGGCCGGCTTGGGGCTCTCTGGAGGCTCCAGAGATCCCCCAGGGTGCGTTGGAGAGCTAGTCCCCACCCCCCTCCTCAAAGGAGATTGTGGACCCCTGGGGAGGGGAAAGGGGGAGAGGGACAGCCAAATGTCTCACACGCATTTTCACCCCCTGCAAACAGGGGTTGGCGGATTTTCTTGTTGTGCTTTGTGCCGATCATCAGATTATTGAAGATTCTCCGGCACTTCGAGACCTTCAACGTGCTCATCCAGGCGGTCAAGATTACAATGGAGGCCCTCCCAATGCTTCTTTATGCTGTGGCCTTGATTACGATGACGTTCGCCACCCTCATCTATCTTGTGGAGCCGGAGCTCTTCGAATCGCCGTTTCGGGCAGTCTGGTTCTGCTTGGTGACCGTCACCACAGTTGGTTACGGGGATTATGCTCCCACGACTACGGCAGGAATCACGATCGTTATGATTTTGATCGTGTCGGGGGTCATACTGATGGCGGTGCCTATCGGTATTATTGGAAACACATTTAACGAAGTGTGGAACACGAGAGATTATTCTTTGCTACTGTCGAAAACGAGGACGAAGATGCAACAGTGGGGCTACACGGCTAATGACATTCCGACGTTGTTCAAACTCGTTGACTATCCAGCTGCTTGTGGCAAACCCCGCCCCCGGGCCTGTGCAACATCTACACGCACGCATGGCGTTCGGTGGTTCTGCCGAGGTCTCCGCATGGGCCTCGGTGGATCGAACTTGGGGCCGTCACCGCTGGCGCGTGCTAGAGACTGGTTGGAGGCTGGTTGCACGGGTTTCTCCGCGGCACTTTGGGAGGCTTATTTGGCCGCCTTCGGGCCGTCGCAGCGCCAACCCAGCCCGCAGCCCCCATGCTTCCCAGATTTCGGGTTGGGGATGCACGGCTTCCATCGTCATTATTGGATCCATGTTTGGGAATGCACCCCACTGGAATTCCACAGGCCCAGCGCCGACTTCGAGGCGCCTATGGGGGGCATCTTGCCGCGTCGTGGGGGCATACATAGGCCCCTGGGGGGTCGATGGGATGTCCTAGGCGGGGGCATCTTTCAAACGTCGTTGGGCGGTCTTGGTGCGTTCCAGAGCTTCCAAGAGGCAGAACATGGCGCCAGAGTGAATAAACCAAGGTTGCAGCTGGCGGGATTTTCAAGGCATGCGTTCAACGTGGGGAGGGGGGGGCGTGCGTAGAAAGCCAGCAAGAAACCCGCCAGACAGGCATTTGATACGCTCCAGCATGCCCAGGGCACATGTTCGGATGACGAAAACGGGCAGCTCGAGCTCGACGAGTTCTGCCAGCTGGTCAATCGTGGACCGAGCGACGACATGAGCACACACACACTTTCGGGGGCCTGTGCGGATGGTTACCTTCGGTCGGCGCCAGACACCCAGCTAGACCCCCTCGCGCCGTGACCCAGTCGCGACGACAGGTTTTTTTAGCGAGGTTCGGCCCCCGCAGGGCCTTTGACGTGCCCCGTGGCCGTCAGCAAAACGACTCGGAATGAACAGCCGATGCTGGGAGAGGGGAAAGGGCGCGAGACGTTTGATGGGCGTGTTTTCCACCACCACCATAAGGGGGCGTCCTCCTCCTCCTCCTCCTCCTCCTCCTCCTCCTCATCCTCTTATTCCTCCTCCTCCTCCTCCCCCCCTCCAACTTATGGTGGTGGTGGTGGTGGAAAACAGGCCCATCAACGTTCTGGGGTCCACGTTGTGACAAAAGTCGCGACGTCGGAGGTCGGGGCAACTCTCCTGCATCGCTCTTTCTCGGCGATCGAGGCGCGCGGGGGTCGAGGCACCGCCAGCGGTCTTGGGAAGGGGAGGGTGTCCGGTCGCCGGCCGCAGAGATATCCGCGCTGACGTCCCGAGGCGTTCGTGTGCATGTCTTTGTTCGGCTCTCGAGGTGAAGGAGATGAAGATCGGACTCTCCGAGGACCGGGTCATCGCTCTGTTTGAGCACATGGACAAGGACGGCAGTGGCGCGCTGGATGCGGCCGAGTTCGCGCTGGCGATCTTTCCACACAAGTACGTCGAGAACTTCGGCCATGCCCGCGCGGCCTCGAGGGAGGTTGTCAGAAAGATGAGGTCGAGAGGGCCGAAATTGGGAAAAGAAGGACCAGGTACAATGACAGACTGCAGTTCCTGCTCGTTTCGGACATGGCCCGCTGTCGATTTCGAGGCGAGCGCTGTCCATTGACAGGCGAACGTCGGCAGTCCAACAGCCGTCGCTGCTCGTTCCGGACAGCAATTGTTGCTGGGCAGAGTCCCAAATAACAAGGCGTTTTGCACATTTGCCGCCTGGGGAATCTAGATGTCCCAAGACCCCATGCTGCAGCGGAGGCAGATGTTCTCGGGACGGGGAGGGGCCTAACTAAATCCTTCTTCGTTGCCTCCTGGGGTTGGGGAAGATCGATTTCACAAGCGGTGGATACTAATGTATTCACGTTTCATGTTCGTATGTCTGTCTAGATGCCAGTCTAAAAACAGTGGAGCAAATCCAGCCTCGGTTCATTGGGTGTTGTCCCTACCACGGGCGTGTTAATCAGGGAGAGCACCTTCAGCGCCCTGACGAACTTCACGGTCCACAGCAGGAGCTTCAATCGTTTATCACCCGGTTCAAGGAGCGTGAGCGGGTTGCCTGATTCGCCCGGTTGACCGCTTGCTTCATTGGCGCGCTTCAAGTTAGGTCTACGGAAGCCCCTGGATGGTGTGGTGTTTTTTGTTGGTTGTCTTGTTGGTTGCATTGTTGGTTGTCCAGTTGTCTGCTTCGTGCATGGATTGTAAAGGGGGGGTAAGGGGGGGGGTAACACGTTTGATATCTCTCGCGCACTGGCTTTGCACGGGATGGCCTCGGCGCGCTCGCTGGAACGGGTTTGGCGGGAATCCAAGCGGAAGGGGGACAGATCAACCAGGAATAGGGACAGGAATCACGGCGAGCGGGATGGAGGGTCAGGGAAAGGGCTTCTTGATGGGCCCGTCTTCCACCACCACCACCATAAGCTGGATGGGAAGGAGGTGGAGGGGGAGGGGGAGGAGAAGGAGGAGGAGGAGGAGGAAGAGGACCCCCTCCCCCTCCAACTTATGGATACTTATGGTGGTGGTGGTGGAAAACAGCCCCCTTATTTCTGCTTTTGCTGCTGGAGTTCAGCAGAGTTCTCTGTTGCGGCTGTTGCTCCTGTTGGTCACGTGCGCCTGCCTTTTCGAGGCCTGCGCCCGTCACGTTTTTCCTGCTGCAGCCGTTTTTGCAATAGCTTGCTCGTCTCACGCTGCCGCCTTTCGCGGCTAGTCTCGGCCTGGCTCACTGCCCGGGGCAGGCGGGCTATTCGCCTCCCCGCGGACCGCCTTGTCACCCTGTCTCTCCGCGTTGGAAGAAACAGGGCGTGGGAGGTTTGGGGAGGAGCTCCGTGCGGGGGTTCGTCCTCCCACCCACCCCACTACCACCCCTGGATTCCGGGATCACAAGGTGTCTGGTCAGCGCTCGGGTCGGACGAGTCCCTCCAGGTGATGACTGGGAGGCTGGAGCTCTGGCCTGGCTCAATGTTGCCCAGAGATTGCATTTCCACGGCTGCTTGGCCAGGTCAGGGTCTGGGCGTTTCTGGTGGCACTCCTGCAACTCTCTTGCAGCCCAGCGCTGATCTGATTGTAGTTTTTGTTCCCGAGTTACCTTACCCGGAAACACATGCACACAGACAATCGCGCCAGGCAGCCTCCGGATGAGCAGGTTTGTGGCCTGATCAGGCACCGTCTCTCTGTGATAGCCCTCCTTTCCTCCATCAGTTACGGCCTAAGCGGGCACAAACAAACGAGCCCCTCTTCCGCCCTCTCCTTTTCCTCAGATCCTCTTCCGCCTCCCTCCCTTCTCCTGTTCCTACTCCCCTTGACGTGCGTAATTAGCGCAATGTAAGTCAGCTGGGACATCATGGGCCATGGAGCGCATCATCATCGCCCGATCGTCCTCCTCCCCCTCGTCGTCCTCCTTCTCCTCCTCGCCTCCCTCTGGATCCTCTTTCCTTGCTGCTGTGTTTATATATACATACATATATATACATACATATATATATATATATATATGTCTCTCTCTCTCTCTCTTTCCCCCTCTCTCTCTCGCTCTCGCCTTTTTTGTCTTTCCTTCGTTCCCTCTCTCTCTCTGCCCCCCATGTCCTTCTCGGGCTCCCGGACCCTGGAGGTGCCCAGAGGCCCGGGAGCGGCAGGCAGGGGCCCGAAGGCCACGGCACCCCGCGCGGCTCACCGCGCCCGTCGAGCGGGCGACGTGCGGGCCCTGGTCGTGGTGCTCTCTGCAGTGGGGGCGCGCATCAGGAAACCATTTACTTTTCGTCGGGGCACCCTGGGTTTCTTCGCTCCGCGCGATGCGCGGTGACTTCCCGCGGCCGTTGAAGGAGCTGCTGCGTTCGGGGTGCTCTGGGCTTTTCCCTCAGTTGCACCTCGCGCGCGGGTTTTCAGGGTTGGGGGGTTGGGTTTCTTGCGAGGGTTTCTTGTGGCCGCGCCCGCACTGTAATTGCTCTCTAGGCTTCCTAGATGGGGTCGGAGTAGATGGGGTCGGAGGGTCGCGCCGCATCGCCGACGCATCGCCGATTCGGCTCGATGTGCAGCCCGCGTTTCTCCGCGCCGACCTCGCCGATGCTTCGCCGACGTCGGCGGTGCATTGCCAATACATCGGCGATACATCGCCGATGCATCGGCGATGCGGCGCGATGCTCCGACCCCATCTCCTCGGACCCCATCTAGGAGGCGTCTATACTCGGACCCCTTCGCGTTGCGAAGGGATCTCGACGGGCGCGTCTTGCTGCCTTCGGCCTCTGGGGCGCCCCCTTGCGGGCCCCAGGGCAGACAGAAACGCCGTATAAGTAGTTGTGTATGGCGAACATCGGTCCTGGGGCAGGGGTCGAGACCTGGGAGGCTGCCCCAGGACCAGCTCATTCGTCCCGAGTCGTTCTGTGGCGGTGATGATGTCTCCTCCTCCTGCTCCTCCTGCTCCTCCTCTTCCTCCTTTTTCTTTTAGGTTGCGTCTTCGGGGGGCTCAGTCAATCCTGTCGCGCCCCTTATCCGCGTTGAGTCCGTGTCGAATCCATGACGGACTCGTCGAATCCACGTCGAATGCGCGTCGGCTCCACGCCAAATCCGCATCGAGCCCGCGGCGGGCAGAAGAAAAGACTGGGGGACAGGCAATCGGTCCGCCCGAAGATGCACCGTGACTCCCTCCTTCTGCCTTTCGGTGGATCCTGGAGCCGTCTCAGTCCCTAATCCTCCTCCGCACGGCGTGGACCCGAAAGGGTCCCGGCGCCTTCCCCAAATGCGCCGTGTCGTTGTGTCCCACCTGTTCCGAGGTACGCGGTGAAGCCGTTCAAGTTGAGCGGCATCAAAAAAGAAAAGAGGGAGGACCCGTCTGAGTGCTACCTTTCGCGCGATGGCCCTGACGAGTCGGGGGCCAGGAGGGAGGAGGGGGAGGAGGAAGGAGGAAGTGAGGTCGGGAGGAGAAGCGGGGAATGTCAAAGGAGGACAGATATTGATGCCGCTGCTCGTCCTGGAGAGCCCTCTTCGCCACGACTGGATGCTTCTCGAAGTTCTGGTCAGAACGCACCCCAGGAGAGCTCTGGGGAGTAATGGTATCGGTATTGTGAAGGCCTTACGGCAGGTGCCGCCGACCCTGACGAAGACGACGAAGAGGACGAGGAGGAGGAGGAGCTGCAGGAGCAGGAGCAGGAGCAGGAGGCGGAGGAGGAGGCAGAGGACGCAGGAGCAGGAAAAGGAGGACGCGGATGAGGGGGAGGAGGAGGGGCAGGAAGAAGAGGAGGATTGGAAGGACGTTGGCGAGGCAAGATTGCGGAGGACAGGAAGAAGGGAACACGAAGGAGGGGGGGTAGCATGAGGAGGATGATCAGGAGGATGGGGACGATGACGAGGAGGATGCAAAGGAGGGGAATGAGGAGGAGGGCAAGGGTGAGGAACAGGTGGAAGCGCAGGAGAACCAGGAGGATGCTTGACGTCCCGGAAAGTGATCGTTTCCTCATTCGTTGTTTTGCCGATCGGCGCGGGCCCTCGCGCCCCCTCCCCGCCCACCCCCTGGAGCAGATCTTGGCGGTTTTCTGCAACTGCTTCAAGCAGGTGGAGCCTCTCCTCCACAGGACGCGCTGCTGCAGGCAGTCGCACTAACGCAGAGGTCGGGAGCCAGACCCTCCCCCCCCCCTTCCGCCCAGCGTTGGAGCGCCGGATAAGGAGACATTCCCAAGCCTGGATGGAGAAGGAACGCGGGAGGAGGGAACGAGGAAGGAGGGCGAGGGAAGGGGGGGGGTCAGCGGAGGGCGAGGGAGGAGGGGGGGAGGGGAGGGCGAGGGAAGGGGAGGGAGAAGGAAGCGAGGACGGAGGAAGGAGGGCAGGGGAGGGCGAGGGAAGGTGGGGTGAGGAGGAAGCGAGGAAGGAGGGCGAGGGCAGGGTGGGGGAAGGCAGGGGGGGGGGGGGGGGGGGGGACGGGGTAGGCAGGACTGCAGCCGCCCAGCGGCCACTCTGCAGCACGAGCGCTGCTCTCCTCTCTGCCTGCCCCTCCGGGGGGCAACGCCGGGAGGTGGCAGGTCAGGAGCTATATCAGGTCGGGCCGGTCCTCCTGCAGGCGGATTTTGGACGAAACATGAGAAATAGTCAAAACATACGCATGAGCATTCAAACATACCGAAAACATCGCACCCATACGATTTGTTTTGACTATTTTTTCGAATATTCCTCTTGTAGAGGACAGGCCCGACCTAAAACTATATTCTTGGGGGCACGGCTACAAAAAATGCGCCGCCAAAGTGAGCCATTTTGGGGCGGGGGTGCCGTGGGTCATGGTTCGCGGGATGTCTCCGGTCAATCCGACGAAACCGTCCATGTTGGTAAATGCTTGCACGCATTTTGGAAAAAGGGGGTGCCGTATGTCAGTTTTTCCGACCTCCTTCCGGGAATGGTTGAGTTCTTGGTTCATTTTGGGGAACCCAAGCCGTCCTGTTTTGGGTGTGTTTCCGGGCTCATTTTTAACAGCCCCGCCCCTGGGAGTACCACTTGCTAGTGGGCATAGGGCTGCGTGCACAGAGCCCTAATCGCCCACTCGTCGCCGATGGGGGCCCGACAGCCCACCCCCGCCCATGAGCGTGCGGATTCACGATCGGGGGACGAATCGTCGACCTGCAGGCGTCCATCGCCGATTCCAGTTCGATACTCCCCCCCCAATGCCACTCCCCCTCCCCCCCTATCATTGTTCCTTTTACCCCCCTCCCCGAATGGATGGTGAGTGCAAAACTTGGAAACTTAGACGTTCCAATGTATTTGGCATAATCTGGTTGTTTTCGGTCCGTCAAACTGGTCTTGCCGCTGCGGCGTGGGCCTCGTTCAAACATCGGCGCTTTGATCCCGTCGTTCAGAATGGCACTCTCGCCTCAGCGCGGCCTCTCGTCTGGATCCGAATCCTTCCTGATCGTTGTCGCCCCCCTCATTTCCCCTACTCCGCCTTCCCCTGGTCCTCCTCCCGCTCCTTCCACTCCAGCTCCTGCTGCTGCCGTTCGTCATCGCCCTCCTCCTTCCTCATCATCCTTGCGTTTCTCCTGCTCATCCGCCACTTCTTCCTCCAATATAAGCAGCCAGCTCCCAATTTCCGATAGCGCATTTCACGATGTGGTCCTTTTCGGAATTCCAGATCCGCTATGACACGCGTCGGCGGACAGAGAAGACATCGGCGCAATGGGAAGGGACGGGCGGGAGGGGTAGGATGTCAGATATGGCGCGAGCGAACCTGGCCTGTCCTCCTGCGCCGGCTCTCTCTCTCTCTCTTTCTCTTTTTCTCCCTCTCTCTCTATTTTCCTGCTCTCGTCCGTCCTTCGTGGTGGGCTCATTTTCCACCACTACTGTTTTAGGTAGGAAAGGGAGGAGGAGGAGGAGGAGGAGGAGGAGGAGGAGGAGGAGGAGGAGCGGGAGGAGGAGCGGGAGGAGGAGGAGGAGGAGGAGGAGGACTTCCTCATCCTCCCTTCTCCCTTGTCCTACATCTGGTAGTGGTGGTGGAAAATTTGCTCATCACTTTGCCCCTCCCCTTCCTCACCCCTCTCCTTTTTGATTTCTGAGCTCCTGCGGCCTAGAGAGAGTTTGGAGGCCTATGTTGGCCACGATCGTGACA